CAAAAAAAGAGAAAATAAGGGATTTCTACATTTACGTTAACATATGGTACTTCGAATTAGTAATTCTGTCTTTGCTCATATACGTATCGAAACCAAAAGCCTAAAACAGAGTGTTTTTGAGGGGGGGAGGGTAAAGTGGCTTTCTTTTTTTTCTGTTTCTTCTTTCTCACACACACATAAGGTTTTGTTCAATATCTTTCTAACTAAAGTAGGGACAGACACAAACCAAATGGCTATATTTACCAAAAAAAATATTAGAAACATATGCTAGATGCAATTTTGAAGAGAACATGTTCGAAATTCTTTTCTAATATGAAACGGATCTTTAAGAAGGATTATATCGTGCAGAAAGAGTGTAGAAAACAGATGGAAGAACATCTTTTTTTGCAAAAGATTTTTTTTTCCATTACATATAATTCTGTTTTTTTCGAAATCACACAGAAACATAGTGTTTTTGTTTGTATATAATATATATTCATACATTATTCTATATATTTTATGTCAAAGTGAGTTGATGAGAAAGTTTGCAGACGGAATTAGAAGTGAAAATTGATTGTTAGAAACGTAAATGGAACGAGAAAGAGAGAGCTATTCAAATGAAAAATCAGTATGGGATTAATAACAAAAAATTATTGAAAATTCCCACCGTTGTTTAATACAATCCACTGGAAAATTTCATCGTACAGACGCGTTTAAAGCGCGTGAAAGTGCAATTTTTTTAAGAAAAATGTGTCTGTACGATAAAATTTTCCAATGGGAAGAACTAAAATTTGTGAGTAAGTAAAATTTATTCTGCTTTTCTCAATGACAGACGCATCACAAAACAGTTTATTTCACTAAAATCTTATTCGTTTTCAAATGCTTGAATAGACGAAGAAAACATTGTACAATGATCTATAGTGTGAATAATAGACAGATTTTTTAGACGAGCGTTTTTTTGACAAAAGTAATTAATATTTCTAAGTTATTATAATCCATCTATCGCTATCTTTTTCATGCTATTACTTAAACATACGATAACAATAATTGTTCTAATCAAATGATTGATATTCTTCTTATTCTTCTGTATTCTTCAATCTTAATTCTCCTAACTTCTTTTTTGATATCTTTCATGTACGTCTTCATCTCTAAAGTTCTTTTATTGTTTTCTTTTTTTAAAGTAACCTTTAAAATAAAACAGCTGCCGAATAAAAGCCAACATACCTGTTTAGGATATTTTCGAACTTGAATTAGAAAAGAGCAAAGAAGAAGATCGAGTGGGTAGGTGGAATATTGTGTGGAGAAAAGTAACAAAACATCTGCATCATTCTATTTTGTATTATTTTCATACAATGTCACTTGTTTTGCTCACAAAAGTAAGTTGTAACACTTATAGTTAGTATGTGATAATGATTAGTATATGTTTTTCTTTTTTTGGTATAGAACTAGATTATTATAAATAGATTAATGTGGTAGACAGAAACAATAATCAGTTCGTTAAAGTAATAATTAGACAAACGTACGATTCAAAAACAAATATATTTGCTAACACATTCTGAATTTTATGCTATATTCTCAGCAGTTATAATGAGTCTGTACAGAAATATTTGAACAAAAAAAATTATAGTGTTACTTTTTTTTCTTTCGAAACCGTTCTTTAATATGGCCGTTTCAATGAGTATTTGTTGTTCAAAAACTCTATCATTTAGTAGTTAGCATAAATCAAAATCAAATTAGCTGAATCTCAGTATAAAATCAAAGTCACAAACCAGTGAACCTTTTTTTTAATGAATATAATAACAACATGTTGAGTTATCCACATAACTATTTGTTATATTCTAGTTTTTGTTCATTACGTTAAAGTACAGCGGCGTCTAATCTCCACTTTTCTTCGACAAACATTTAATTTTGTCCATTTCTTTTTAACTTGTTTCGTCCTCTAATTGAAGTGATGTTCAAAAGCTCATTGGCGTCGCGTCTAAGAGGTTGAAAAGAAAAATATATGTGATAGCAATGATAGTCGTCTCTTCTTTCTAACAAAACAAGAGCTTTTTCAGTAGAAAAAGATCATGATGGAAAAGCAAATGATTGACTAAATCCTTGCGTAAAGAAAAAAGAAGAAAGAAGAATTGACAAATGACAGATTAGAAATTATTCTTGATCGTGACAAGATAGCCTGTTCGTGTTTTTTTTTAAGGACAGGAAGAAGTAAAAACTGTTGAATGTAACGTTTTCTTTCTCTGTTTTTTTGGTAATATAAGTATGATATACACTTGGTAAAGACGATGATGGACAGCCGTTTTGTTTCCTGATGGTATTAATGAACAACTGTGTGTGTATAATAAAATTAACAACAGTCGTTGAAAGCCTAGTGTACGCGTAATGTAATGTAATTTAATGTTAAAAGAAAGACAGAACAGGAAGAGAGAGAGAGAGAGAGAGAGAGAAAGAGAGAAAGAAAAAAGAAAAGAATATGCATCTGTTCGACTATCTTTTTCTTCTTTAGTTTTAGATTATAGATCTGGTATAGTATATCATCAATAGACGTTCAAAGGTAACTAAGATATCATGTCAACTAGTCCACTTTTAAATCATCAACAAATGCATTCACAAACAACGACAGATAAAATGGTGGAAGATAAACAAGAATTAAAAGAATATTTTGATAAATTAGCAAATCTTGTTCCTACCATACCGAAAAATGAATCACTATCAGAATTACAGTTTATTCAATATGTAATGGAATATATTGTAGAATTACAACAATTATTAAATGATACGAATACATCTTCATCTGTTTGGAGTAAAACATTAAATAAGTTAGCTACAACTATGAAAACATCGTTTCCAAATATTTCAACATCATCCACGTTCAATACATTCATTTCTAGTGAATATGAAAATAATCGTTTACTTCTTTTAAATCAATTATCAAATGAAGATATTAATCGAAGTCCTCTGACATCGATCAATATTGAAAATTATCATAATCAATTGCCGGTAAGATAAGTCAGTATGCTCTTAATATATAAAAAGTCTTATATAACAGGCAACTTTCAGGATATTAAGGACTTAAATTATAGTGTCATCAGTCAGTTTTCTAATCATTGACAATAGAGAGTTTCATTATTTCTATTTTAAAAGTTTGTTAAAACTTTCAAATCGTACAAAAATATATTTTATCAATAAAAAGAGAGCTTATTTAGAAGTTCAAAATGCTCTGCAAAGACGAATGACGATCGATGTTATCCAATTATATCTACATATAATTGGATGACATCGATAAAATGCAGAAGAATCAGTTATACTTTAACTTTAATTTTTTTTCAGCCTAGCAAAATACACGAATCAATAAGCAATTTAACAAATAAACATAGTGAACATGTATAATACAATATTTATTCGTTGAACAGTACAAATGTATCATCAATGATCGATTGTGCTAGAAATCAAATTTATATATAACTAATTTGACTAGTTATACGTTTATGAACTTTGTGACGATTTCGCTGCTCTGCTTTGTCTAATTCTATTTTTGTTTATATTTCAGTGTTTTCTGTATAATTGTTATTGTTATTCTTTTTCATTTATCGAGTATCAAAAAATGAATTAATAATAAAAGACAAATTTTGCATAGACGTTTATTTTTTAAAAAAAACAAGCTAAAAATGTTCAATAATTCAAAAAGAAAAAAAGCGAACAAATTTATAACTGTAATTCATCTCTATCTGGAAGTTTTTCAAAATACTTTTGGATTTGCTTTTCAGACGTTTCAGCTAATGTTGCGGGTTTCCATCGTGGTTTATTATCTTTATCCACAAGAACTAAACAAATATTTATAAATAATATCAAATTCAGCGAGATTAAAAAGTCACATCCTCATACCTGCTCGAACACCTTCATAAAAATCATGCTCTTTCATGATATGTAGTACTATTCGATATTCCATCTTCAAACATTCTTTAAAATCTAAACTTTTCCCACGTTTCAATTGTTCAAAGGTAATTTTCATCGATGATGGGCTCTGAAGAAGAGAAAAAACGAATATAAATATAAATTTATGTGTACCATCATCAATTACCATTTTTTGTAATATTTCAAGTTGTTTTCTAGAGAAATCTGAATCATCCGCCTTTAATTTGTTCATAATTTCTTCAACGCTTTTCGACTCCAAGTCAAATATACGATTGATTGTTGAAAGATGAGGTTGTAAACTAAATGGTTGTGAAGTCGTCTAAAATTCAAAGCCATGCTTTGAACAAAAATTAGAATTGAAAAGCGTCTAACCGTAACATACTGAATCACTGCATTCGGATAAAAGTGATTCAATAGATTGTTTCGTTGTTTCATTGGAGTCAATTAGTTTCTTTTCGAGTTCACTAAGCTAAAGAGTGTGAGCGACATCTGGAGAAACTATTGAAAAGTCGGAAGATGACTGGCATTACTCGACTACTTTGAATATAATGTGTAGCAATTCCAGCGTGACAAACATCAACACCACGAAGACGATGACCAGTTAACCCAAGAAATAAACCCAAATTATTCTTTAGTCTTGACAAAAAATAAGAGCCACCAACGTCCGGAAATAAACCTAGAAATAGAAAGTTTTGAAAAACTATTATATTTCAGTAATTCAAATCTATTTATTTTTACCAATTGCTGTTTCAGGCATAGCAACTAATGTTGCTTCTGTTGCTACACGAAATGGGCCATGCACAGAGAGTCCACAACCCTAAATGTGAAAAATCGCCACTTTATAGAAGAGCGTGCTCACAAAAAAATTCTAATTCTAATAATAATAGTAATAAAAAGTTTTAGGGATCAATGCTCTGATTTTCAGAGCTGTCAAAATTCGAACAGCTTCGTGTGTATTTTGCATTTAGAAAACAATTTTTCAAGGTGGTAAGCTGATTACTAATTGTCTTTCTCTAAATTCGAGTTTCAACAACAACAGCAACAACAATCACTTACGTACTCCTCCCATAGTAATACCGTTTATCAAGGCAACATATGGCAGTTTATAAGTACCTAGATAAGTAAAAAAATATCATAACATCTACGGATCATTTTAAGCAGTAACATTGTAGCATTAAACCTATTAAATAATTTAATTGGTATTCCTCTTTGAAAAAATCACGACGTAATGCATCGCCTTCCGTTGTTTTTCCCAATAGAGCTAAAATAAGAGAATTAAGATATGTCAATAAACATTGAATTTATCTATGATACATACCTTTGATATCACCTCCAGCACAAAATGCTTTATTCCCAGTACCTTTTATAATGACTGTACGTGTGTGACCATCTGATTCCCATTTCTTCGAAAGTAAATAAACAAAAGTGTATTTCTTATTTTTCTACCGTTAATGGATAGATTTTACCTTCATTTGCGGATAGATTTTTCTCGCCATTGGTAGTGAAAGTGCATTTAATTGCTTCGGCTTGTTTAGCCGTATAACTCCTTTATTGTTTATATTTTCAAATATAACATCATTCTCATTTTCTGTGTTAACAGCATTTTCATTCAAATTCATAGCTGAGAAATGAATATTCGATTTTAATTTTAGTAACACAGAATTCAAGTTTCTATTAAGTAGACTATGAAATGGATACTCGTAGAGTAACAGATTTCGTAACATTTAGCTAGTTTAATTTTCTTTCTCTACAAAAATAAGAGATACTTAAATTGAAACAGATTTATCATTTGTCTAGAATCAAAGAGACTAAGAAATACAAAAGTCCCCATCTATCCTGTTCTCGTAATTATGAGACTCTTAGAATCGCAGATCATTGTTTTATCATTATTTTTAAATAGCTACCAAAACTTGAGCGTACACTTAAATTTTGACTTAATCTTAGTTGATTGATTTGAAACATCGTCGAGTTGTAGTTAAGTTCATGATCTTAAGAATACTAATGAAGCGAACCCATGTCCTTCTTTGATTGAAGTTTAAAGAGATCTGCATACAGCGCGGAAAACGACAGATAAACATTTACTGATAAAATTTTCGATAGTACGTATAACTCACAATCAGTTAAAACTACTTTCTGATATTAATTTCACTTTGACTGTTCACTTCAGTCCATTTTCCAGTACCAGACCGGGGGCTGGCAACAGACTATCACTGCTATTGATTGGTTGGTAAAACGACTTATTAAAAACCACAACCTGTTCTACCTATCACAGTTTAATGTGATTAGTCCATTATTTACCTGTCGCAGCTGTACCTTATTAAATTTCATTAAGACATTGACGTTAGGATGTAAATTGACAGTGTCAATATGACACTATTGTATAAGGTAACGCTCATCTATGATTCGCTGGGCTTGACTTTAGGCGCGGTGCAGTGCACAATAGACATCCATACATATTAGTAAATAGGTAAAGAACAATCGGGGTCCCTCTAATCAGCTTATAGTGTTTCTAACAAGCATTTTGAGCAAATTGTATATCAACTATTGACCACTAGATTTCCACATTTTCCTAGCTAAAAACAAATTGTACATATAATCTTCATAGAGTACTACACACTGTGCTTCAACTGATACACTTTCTTACTAGAAACGCTGATCGGTCGATGATCTCATCAGTGTTTTCACCCACATTTTCCGTTATATTTCAGATTCGAAAACCAATGACTAATATCATCAATATAATTGAAAGTGCTGAAAATATGGAAACAAAGGAAATGCAATTTTTTGGACAGGATTAATAGAATAGAATTAGAAACCATGTGGTTTAAGTCGACTTAAACCGTAGGAAATAATTCCAATTTTATTTTGCATCGAAAAGAAAATTTCCATGCTTCTAGTAGACTTGAACAAGTGATAACCCTTCGGCGAGAGGGAGTTTATGTTGAAAAGGTTATTTTATTTTTCGATTGTATACTTTTACTCGGTTTAAGTCGACTTAAATCACTGCACATTGTGCTTAGTGCCAACTATCACCCCTAGCTATGTAAATAATAAGAAAAGGAACTGTTCAGAGTTTCTACAGTCTTTGATAATGGATAAGATTTTCTTTTAAATTGAAATTTAAAATTTCAGAATGCATAGATATACCTAAATTTTTGACCAATAGAAAGGGTCTTAATAGCCCGTCTGGCTATCTCCATTTTTAGTTCTGACCGGCAAGGGATATAAACTCAATAAGTGTACGACAAATAACTAATATAAGAGTGTAATGACTCAATATAAGGCAATTATTGCTGGTGGTTATATTTCATAAAAATAGTTGTTTGAGAGCTCTACCAATACAATAATTTAACTAAATTTCTTTCTCTTTAATCGCTATCAGAACTTTTTATTGTATGTCAGATGGACGAATACACATGTTATTAACATAACATATTGAGCGAGTTTTTCAAATGGACTGAACAAACGATAAAACAAAATATAACAAACTTTATGGTGTGTTCATTCATTCGTGTAGTTCCAAGTATAGGAATCATTGATGCATTTTCATTTCAGTTCAAAATATTTGATTAAATTATTAGGAAAAATATTAGAACTTGCTGTTAGTTTTATTTTTAAAATACTTGTCAATGCTATTAAAAGTTTTCTATTTGCACTTTCTATTTGCAAAAAAAGTTTTTAACAACAATATAGAAACAAAAAATTAACAACGGAAAAAACGTTAAAAATAAATAGAATATATTTCAAATATCAGACAAACAAATAACAATTATAATTCTCATAGAGTATTGAAAAAAAATTAAACGAAAAAAAAAATTAATGAAAATGCTATATTGAGAAAGCGAAAATATATTTTATAAAAATTGTAGTGGTTGTACTTGTATATATCAATCTAGCACCGTTCAATGTAGTACAAAGTAATTAACGAGGATCATCACAAAAGCTGAAAGATATTTTTTGCATTTATGGATTTTATTTAATTGGTGTATCAATCCAAGGTACTTTCTCATCCCATAATAATGAATTTGGTAATTCATTGTAACGTTGTGGAAATTTATACAATTGATATGAGAATATTCTTCGCCAAATTTCTCTCATGTTATTCATTGAACCTGGAAAATGACCAAACATTATTGTGTAATAGGATTTTGTACTCATAAATCGTGTATGTGCCAGTTGTTGCGGTATTGTATATAATGAGCCTAATTGTGCATACGTTACATTTGCTGCTGATGCAACTGCTCCTGTTATGTAATAATCATCAACCCAAAAGAAAGGTACATATAAACTAGCATTATACCTAGAAACGATGGTAAAAGACATTTGTCAAAAATCAGACAGAAATATCGTAACAGACTTACATTTTTTCAGGCATATCACCCGTTAAAACAAAAGCAGAACCACTGCAATAGGGTGGAAATTTATCCATTGGAAAATCGTCTTTGCTTAAATACCATTTTGACTTTGAATCTAAAATATGACAGTAAGAAATTATTTGTCGAGCTGAACTACGACGGAGAGATTAATGTTTCATTAATCGAACTAGTCATAACTGTTGCTGAGTTTAATAGCTTCATTTTTAGCGTATTTTTTCTAAAGTGTTAGTTATGAACTGTAGAAAAATCTAACTACCTCTCATCACTCCCATTGCGCTCCATAATAAACACAAAATTGTTCCTTTTCTATCTGGATTATGCTTGTCTAGAAATTTTAAATGATTAATCAACGTGAACATATTGACAACTATATCATCATCGACTTTCAATATATAATGTGTATTTGGGCAGTATTTTGATATCCATTTTAATGCCATAACACCTTTGTATGTTAAATTTTTATATGAATCAATAAAATCCTCTTGTACAATATCATTATACAATTCATTTTCGTATTTGATCGCTTTTTCTGTTGTTTCATCAAGTGTTTTTCCAATCATAAACACGAGACGTATATCGGGAAATATTGCACGTGTTGCCCATGTTTCTCGGATAACCACACGTCGTTGATAATTTGTTGGACCAGAGTGAACATAGACAAATAAATAAACATTGGAACTATTTACACCGCATACAGCGTACTCAGGATTTAAGATGTACGAAAAATCATGCGGATTTACAATATGATCTTGCGGACGATAAGGATTCAACACCGGTGTCGGTGTTACTGATGGCGCACTTTCTTCATTAGGTGATTTTACGTTGAGAAGTTCAACAGTACCATTCAACGTAGCTGTTTCGACACGAACGAATAATAATATTAAAAACCATCGAAATATAATAGAAAAATTCATATGATAAACAATGTCTACCCGATGGCTAAATAATCGTTTGCGTCATGTAAAAAAAGAGCGACAAAAATAAGGAAATTCAAACAAAATTATAATCATATCATTTTATTTACGAAAGAAAAACGTCATATATTGTATGTAAATCCTACAATGAAAACAAGACAATATTAGAGAACGGAAATCTGTGCATGCTGTTCTATATTTGAGCTGACTAAATTAATAGAAAAAACTACGGCTATATCTCAGTCTGTGACAGATAATGAACAAAACTCTTATTTTCTAAACTGATATAAGATAGTTAATGACAATTGGACGCGAGTAAGCCTCCAAGCACCAAGTAACTATATATAAAGAAAACATGTGTCGTATTTCCCAGTTAGATGAAAATTATTTTCAATTTCTCAATGAATCACACTGGAAAAACAATGGTACGGTACGGAACTTAAAAAAAGGTTTCAAGAATTGAAACAATTTGTAAACCCTTTTTAGATTTCGTAGAAACTTAATAAGGTTTTGTAGATTCGTACGATACCTAAACAAGGTTTAGAAATGGTTTCAATCCTCGAAATTCTTGTTTTTTTATTTTTTGAGTGTACTAGAGTTCTAAGTGATCTGAGAGTTCTGTAAGAGCGATAATAATTAAGACAAATGTTATTTCTGCATTTTAATATTGATTAAACTGTTCAAATCTAAAAATTGTTCCTGGTACAAATTATTACAAATAAATCAACAATAAGAATCAAGAGAACTTTTGATCGTTTAGTTAATACTTAATGCTTACTGTACGTGCACAACAGGAATTTCATTTTTGTTTGAGAAACATTTCATGTATACATGCCTTAAATCACCGTTCCGTATACAGAAATATATATAGTCAAAATAGTAAGGCTATGCATATATATGAGTAAATATTATTACTTTTTCTAACAGAAGAATTTTTTTACCTATTCTTCCTATTTGTTCAGAGTAAAATTGCACGTGTAACGAAGGAAAAGAAAGAACTCTTAAGAAGTACAATTCGTCGACTTTTACTCATATATTAAAAACAAAGTTTACCTTCTGTTCTGAAAAACTATATATGCGACTTCATTCTCTACAATGAAAAAAAAAACAAAGGTTTCGAGAACTGAAACCATTTCTAAATTTTTTTTCAGGTATCTTACGAATCTACAAAACCTTTTTAAGGTTTCATCGATTCGTACAAAACCTAAAAGGGGTTTAGAAATGGTTTCACTTCTCGAAACCTGTTTTAAGTTCCGAACCGTACCATTTTTTTTTGCCAGTATATCTTCTCCTCGTTTAGGAAAACTACTTTATTTGAGCTGAACTGTTAACATAATTCCCTTTTATCGTATCACATTACCTACCCGTCATTTGACCTTTTTCTTCTGAAATTCAAGTAAACAGCATTACAAAAGAAATGTATATTTTGACATAAATCTGTTAAGTCCAAAAGAAAACATGTTCAATTTTAAACTTTTACCTTAAATCATACGTCATATTATCGTAAGAAGAAATAACTAATGGACTACAGAGGCAGTGAACGATCGTCACAACGGTTTCAATAATTATATTTATTTATTTTTTTTATATAAATAAATATATAGAAGAAAAAGTCCTCGTTGTTCTGTAATAGCTTTCATGGTTTTCCTTCTTTCTTATCTCATTTTTATTTAAAAACCATCCTACAAAAGTTTTATTTAATCACTTTCAATATGAATTAACACAACCTATAAAATCTAATTTGTACTACGAGTTGACGCTAAACACAAATATATAAGCAAGAAAAAAAAAATTGGCAATAGTTTTATATATATTTAGATATATTTTCATAAGAGTTGTGTACGTTAAACATTATTATCTACAAAAGAACTTATCTGCACATTTTCAGACTCTTATTTCAAAAGATTGTCAAAAGAAGTTTTTTTTCCTATTTTTTCTTTCTTTCTCGTTCTTCCAAAAGGAAAAATAAAAGATACACTAGTAACAAAGGTGTGAGTAAAATTTCATGGAGCAAGACTTTGTTATTAGGGAGATAAGAGAGCGAGAGAGAGAAAGAGAGATGAGGAGAAAAATAGTACAGCTTATATACTTGAATAGTAAGAAAATAAATAACACAGTTGGCATAAAAACGTTTTCTCACACGAATATTCAATATAGTTATGCTTATACACTAATTCGAACGTATCATAAAGAGAATTGATGGAACTATACCAAACATCATATGAGCTCTTTTTACTCTACAATACTCTTTTCTGAACGTTTCCATTTCGTTCATGGCTGCTGTTTGTTTTAATGATAGTTAAATTATAATGTCTATAATGCTGTTATTGAAATCAGAAATCTTCAGCTGTTATTAGTATAAATGACTCCAGAGGCGGTCCGATCGAGAAGAGGGTCCGGTAGCCCCCATCCCCTCCGTTCTCCAATAATTGAAAATAATTATTTTTCACCAGTCAAATGAAAAAATTAATTTTTATAAAAAAAGCTCGTACAGCGAAAAATTTTTACTCGTCCTCCCTCCGCCCACTTTTTTTATGGAACAGCAGTTTAATTTTTAGAAAAAAATCGCTAAAAAATGTTGGCTCTCCCCCAATCCTGAGTGTTTCGGGTCAGTTCTAATGACTCTCATCAGATGTATATTAGAATACAGTTTTAGACTCTTATATTAATGTTTTGTTGTATGAATAATCTAAACATAAGATTATATATAAGATAGAATATAAGAAAAAACAACAGAAAAGAACGGGAAGAAAAAGTCACTCAGCCTATAATCATCGAGAGAGAGTTAAATAGTTTCAGCTATTAATAACATTCAAATAATTGGAAAAAGTCACTATTTGTTGTTATATCTACTTACTAAAGAACAGCTATAAAAACACTTCATGCAGTCTTTCTTCCAGTTTAGTCTTTTTAGTTGATTAAAGCCGATACATAAGTTGAGTCATTTTTATGGCATTGTAGTAGAAAAAATTTATCAAAAATGGAATCGGATAGACCTACAACGTTTTTATTTCTATTCTCTTGTTCTCTATTTACACACAACTTTGTTTTTCTAGATTTATCCTTTATTCTATCAAGCAAAAATACAAGAAAGAAAGATATTAGTACAGTACAGAAACAATACAGGCTGAATAACTTATTGAGGTTATCTATATGCTGTCACTATAATAAAATTAAAATAATAGGTACGACTATTTAGGAAAAATTCACCGGTATATGCCACTCAACAATTGAAAACAATGAAAATTCTGGATGTGGGTGCAAAAGACAAAAGAGAGACGCCAAACTGGTTTAGTCTTCTATGGCATATGATTATGATAATTGACGATATGCCAGAACATGAAAAATATTATTAACACTGATAATTTGTACCTTTTCAATTATCCAATATTAAAATTGAATATTCATCTGCGATAAAGCAGTTATGCTATCATATAGTAATATATACTCTGCGTATTTGAGATAAATGTAAATGTCACTGAGAGAGATCTTATGAAAAAGTGATCTAAACTCATGTGGTGATTTTTAAAGATAGATTATCACTGGTAGTTCCGAAAGAAGTCATCATGATCTGGCATAACCTGGAATGTGGAAAGGTCTTTTATTGATTCATTAATCATTGTTATCGTTATTAATGTATTACTAACAGCAAATAATTTAATAAGTGATTATTACTTATCTTTCAAAGACTTGAACAGACGTAATCAACAGCAGCATGTTCGTTTTGGTTTGCGTAGACTCTTTCCAGTCGTGATCATGCTGAACATGGTCAAAATTTTACTGATACTCGTGACCGAGGATTCAACGATAAAAGATTAACCCTTTAAGTCCCCAAGGCTTTAATGTTTTTTTTTGAAAAAGTTCACTCTTATAATTTAAATTTAAAAACAAAATTTGAAAAATATTGAATATTTTTATTTTTTATTTTTGAATATTTTTTTTACTACTGGATAGCCAATTTAATTCTCTACAATCGATATAAGATTAGTTTTTCAGATAATGCTTCCTCAGTGTGTGATAATGATAATGCCAATGTCCGTTTGAATGGACATTGGACTTTAAAGAGTTGAACAAATAGCACATATCGACATTTAATGCATAATTATTGTTTATTAAAACTACGAACGCAGCAATGTGAAAAAGTCGTTTATCAACTACAACCGTAAAATGAAATAATTTTTGAATCCAAAGACATCTATTGAACAATTAATCGTGTAGTCTTTTGTTACTGATGGATCTTATATTCCAAAGAGTTATATTTATATTGGAGGTTGCAGATTGGTATATAGTTGAAATCAGACTTGTAACAAATGCTCGAATACAATTACTAAAATGATACTGTACCATGGCAGGTAGTGACTTCAATTTTGTATACATCTAGCCGAGATGATGTGTTGATTACTCAACAAGTTTGAGTCTCTTAATTCGTGAAATTAATGGATTTCAATTCTTTTTCGTAGAATACTAATAACTTTTAGAACTCCTGATCTAATGTAATGTAGTTAAGACTCTCGTTTCTTTTATAAACTTTTATAACATCCTCAGCGATTTTCTGAGTGTTTAGAAAATGTTGATTTTCTACTTTATAGAAAATCCACTCGATTTTCTACCTTCGATTATGAATTGCCTTTTCTCACTTGCCAGAAAACCTATAAGGAATTTCTAAAAAGTTGAAAAATCGATAGCGTTTTTCTAATTTTTAGAAAATCGATTGATTTTCTATAAATCAATCCCAAAATTCTTGAAATTTGACAGCGATTTTCTAAATAGTCGGAAAATCGGATTCAATTTTCCAAGAAGACCAATCGGTCATTTTTTTCTTGCCTCTTTCACATCTATCAAAGTCTTCATTGCAACAAGTTGTCCTGTAACAGATCTCTGCTTCTTGTAGTATTTAACATCGAAAATGCTAGTAGATTCGGAAAGTTTTCTCACTTTTTTGCAAATCAGCATATTCTTCTAGAAGTATTATTGCTGTGCGACACTTAAAGATCACAACAAGGTACTGAAAAGGTTCTTGCGTTAGGCCTGGTTAAGACAAAATTTCACCGTAACTTTCTGAAGAGCGTAAAGCGATTCGCTTCTGCTAATATTCCTCATTTTTATGTTTGAATTTAGCATCTTCCAAAAATGTAGTTGGTTCTATTAACTCAAAGATATGATCCTAACAATTCACATTTATTTTCTTTATTTTTTAAATAAAATAACAGTCGTTCAACACATGATCGATTTCGAATTTGGTTTTATTATTAAAAGATCTATATTGTCATCCAATCTTCAGCCGTTTTCTAGAAAGTAGAAAATAATCCAACTTTTCGATTTTCGAAAAGTCCATATATAAAATCGCTGAGGATTTTCTATAAATAATTCCCAACAATGTAAAATCGATGTTGATTTTCTACATTAATGAAAATTCGATTTTCTACAATCTGGAAAATCTATGAGGATTTCATATATGGACTTTTCGAAAATCACCGAGCATTTTCTATAAATAATTCCCGACTTTACAGTGTAGAGTATCTAATTGAAAGTTTATACATTTCTTATTTTTAAATAAAATATTCTAAATAAAAAATATTCGTTGTTGATCTTGTATACATCGTTCTTACATTTTTTTAACCATATATCAACTAGAATTAATATTTACTGAACGACGATTATTTTAGAACAATGGATCACTATTGAAATAGAGGATCATTTCAAAAAATTTAAAAGAAAAATTTATTGTTTTATTCAGTTGTTTTGTACCATGGCATCAATGCGAAAATATTCCAGAATTGGATTAGATGTGTGTCTGGAAAGACTATATAACAATAAATAACTCTAGTGGTTTATGTACACCATAAAAATGTTCATCTAGTGAATATTTCAACATTTTTTTGTTGATTGAAGTCAAAGAATTCAGTATCATCCGAGTTATAATCCGACGTCTATTGACAAGTGTGGATTCTATCTCCTGTTATCCTACGTTTTCAGTCATATCTGTCTTTTATCGACAATTTTCAAAAACACTTATACTTGGCGCATATTTTGTAAAGGATATTGTCGGCAATCTCTTTTATTCTTCTACCCTTTTGAGGCGTGTCGTAAAAATCTTGTCAAGCATAAACTAAAAATGAGTAAGCCTTCTTCAACTAACTGAAAACTCAATTGAGTATCTTTTCGTTTATGACATAAGCCTCTAGCTATCAAGTTTCACGAGTTTTACCAAAACTGTTCTATCTCCCCTATTGAATGTACTTGCGAGTGGGTACTTGTTTACCTGCAAATTTTCACGGATACTTGACAAGCACTTGACAAGTATTTTCAAAAAATATCATTTGATAAATGCCTAAAGCACTCATCAGGTACTAGATTTACTTCTTGAACCTCCCACAGGTACTTGGAATTGCTTAACAAAGGACTTGACAAGAAAATAAAGCAATTCAAGCACTTTGTTTACTTGCAAAAAAGGGTAAGAACGTTGGACAAAACTTCCGAGGGTTCTTGACCAAGTATCTGCATCCAAGTACATTCACTAGGATCTCCTTTACGGTTTCAGGAATTTTGAATGAGAACCTGGATTTCAAGTCGTTTTTCAGTATTTTTTCTAAAATCTGGAGAGGAAAGATGATAGAACGAAAAAAAAACTATACCTACGAATTATTACCGAGTATTTATAAAATTTTGAAGCCGACCAGGTCAAGTTATCCGAGGTCGTAATAGAACGATATGAAAAGTCGAGTTTTCGTAAAACTTGAAAAACTTGACAGCCAGAGGCTTATGACACAAACGAAAAGATACTCAACTGAGTTTTCAGTTAGTTCTGAAAAGGAGAAAGCTTTCGCATTTTTAGTTTATGCTTGGCAATATTTCTACGGAAAGCCCTAAAAGGGTGGAGTACCTTTAATACATACAAATTGAACATAAAAATTGATTATCTATGTAGTGTGCCTGTGTGACGGTTCTTGCGCTAATGCCAAGAAGTTAAGCCAAACGATGTTGAATTAAATATAAGAATGTCAGGGTAACAATTTATGACAAGACTTTTTATAGCTTATTAAAGCTTTCTTCAATCATCATGCAATAGAAATATAGTAATAAGCGTTAGATGATAACCAGAGATAGAATTTTACTGATATCATTTATTTATCGAGTTTACTCGATTTTTATGAATCACCACTACCATTCTCCAGCCATCCCAAAACTTTATCAACGAAAAATCAACGTTTTCAAACAAAATTTAGTTTTTCAAAAATTGCTGTATAAGATCAGAGCGAAAAAATTTGATTTCGATATTTTTCATTCAAAACTTCTTGTTTTATGTATGGTTCGATGCAGTTTGACGAGGTGATTCTGAATATGCCATTTATCTTGATTCGGAACATGTTTTTAGCTGATGAGGGAACGTTTTTAAGTGCCCCTCGCTTTTTTAACGAAATCTAGTGGGTTATAGGTTATCGATGATACTGATTCCGAATATGAATATGAGAGCTGCTCTTATGGCTTTGAAGACACGGTTTTCTGGAGAACCAGTTTTTAAGAAACTCTGAAAAACAACTAAAACGTTTCTTAATGAACCGTGCGGGTAGCCCGCACATTTCTGATTAAAATGAGACCTCTCCCAGCTCTACATGACCTATCTTTGCAAAGTTATAGAATTTACAAGAAAAGACCTAAATTAATTTCTTCTTATTTCTGTAGCTTTGAGTTGACAATAAATATTTAGGGCTTTTCTTGTAAATCTATAACTTTGCAAAGAAAGGTCATGTAGAGCTGGGAGAGGTCTCATTTTAATCAGGAATGTGCGAGCTACAAGCATGGTTCATTAAGAAACGTTTTAGTTATTTTTCAGAGTTCAACTGGTTTTCCAGAAAACAGGGTCTTCGAAGCCCTAAGAGCAGCTCTCATATTCAGATTTGGAATCAGCATCATCGATAACCTATAACCCACTAGGTTTCGTTGAAAAAGCGACGGGGTACTTAAAAACGTTCCCTCGTTAGAGAAATGGATCTTATGTTAAAAACAAGCGTCTGCGCATCATTGCGCTAAAACTATGGGTAGGAGAAGATTGGTAGAGCTTTGGCAGAAGAGTGGAAACTTACTGCACTAAAAGCACGTTTTCGGAAAGTTTTGTAGCATGAAAAACATTGATTTTCTCGGTTGTCTTGAGTTCGATTACACATTGAAAATGTAGTATCGCATCGTTTAAAACCCCAGTAATGTCAGCAATAGGCAGCATTAGTATTAAACGAAAATTATATCATGTGTTTCATTACTATCCTCATTGTTAGGAATGTCAGATAATTTTCCGTATGCGAGTTTTCCCAGTTTTATAAGATTGAGACAAAAATGTTTTGCTAGATAAAAATAGTCCACACTGTGAAGATTATTCTCCACTGTGCATCCAAGTGTACATTTGAAATCAAAAATGTACACTTTTGTTTTTTGGCTAAACGTCGGTGCCACTGTCCGCTGCGCGTGTTCATCTTGTAAATTATTAACAACTCAAAAGTTCAAGCAGAATACTCAGCTACTTTACTCGTCACTATCTTGTTTTGCGTAAAAGACCTTGTAATATAGTGAATATGAGTACTACAGTAGTCGATATTATACAGTCGACTGGACAACTACTATGCCATTTGTTAAAGATCAAAGGTAAACTGATCAAACTAACAAGTTTGGTTTTTTCTCTAAACTTATATATGGTTTTCTAACTCGGAATATTAAGACAAATTATCAACAAAAGATAAAATATAATAACAAAAACAAAGATCAAAAGTAAAAAAAAATATATGGAACCTAACAATATTTAAAAAATTCTAAAGAAAATCATGAAATGTAAGAATATCAATCGAAGTCGATGTACGGAAAACGAAAACATGTCGAGATAAATTTCCTACAAGAGTACACAATAAAAACAAGTATCACAGTTCAAAGCCAAAACAGATACATAGAAAAAAAATAATTGGAATCGAGTCCAGTAGCTTCTATAATTTACTGTAGCACTGCTGATGATTCAGGTGTAACACCAACATTATTTTTTGCTATGATAATTGTCTCATTCATTTCATGATGAGATTTTTCACCCTTCTTATAAAAACTTTCGTATAAAATATTAATAATTGAATGAATCATACCTAGAAAATGAAATATAACAACAATAAATATACTATCCAATTTCTTATTACATACCTGATGTTGCAAAGACACCACCTATAATTCCTCCTATTTCTACTAATAAAAACCAATAGGACCTGTTAACTTCTTTAACAGTTATTTTCATTGGTGATATTTCATAACGAATAAATATACCGGGAATGCCATGTGAGCCCTGATTATGATTGATCTCACGGGTCTAAGAAAAAATGAAAAAATATAATATAAACATGGAAACAACGTTACAAAATACTCACTTTTTCAGTAACAGCATATTGATATGTTTCTACATTTGCATGTCTAGTATCTACAACTGTTGGTACCACTTCGATAAAATACTGATACATTTGGGTAGCTAAGAAAATGACATTATTTACGTTGCATAGAGCTCTTGCTAATTTACACTTAAAAGAGTTCTCTAGTTACCATTAATCGTTGGTCAGTTTAGATAACAACTTACCAGTTTTCGATAGTTTTAAATCGCCATTTAACGGTTGTACTAGTCCCGGACTCGGATGACCAAATGAAAACTGATCAATACGATGAGAAAAATTCATAGCTAGAAAGGGAAAAAAAACACAAGACAGTTTCATATCAGCAAAAAGTGACCACAAATTTACCATACTCAATACCCAACGGACTTAAGTGAGCATGTGCACCAAATAAGGAGAATGATCTGAAGGGAAAAAGGTATTATCTAATCAATACCAAGAAGTGCATAGGAACTCAAAAGATTAGCAAAATAAATTTTGGACATATTATTTTAAAGTGAATAGTCAAACAGAAGGTAAAGCAAGATAGGATGTAAAACAATTATATCCCCTTATACCAAAAATAGAAAAACTTGATCATTGTTGTTCAAATTTAAAGCATGGATAATCAAAGAAGTACGTGCTTTGTTGTCCAAAAACCTGTTGAGTTTTTATGCTATGAACATGAGTCTCATCTGCCTTGAGCTTTTTATCATCAAATCTAAGTAGCAAAGTATTCAGAAAGCGTATATCGAATTAGTTGTTGTCATAACTTACTTTCCCATAATGATATGAAAATTACCAGCTACTTTAGTCACTTCTAACGTTCCATGAAATCGACAGGCATCTTTTGGTCGGTCTGGATTTATTTCTCTGAAAAAAAACAAAAACAAATAGAATTCAAAAATAATTATCAATCGTTCTATATATTTCAACTAAACCGTTTTGGTAATTGTTCATTGTGCATATTAAAACCATCTAACCATATAACATCATGAATAGCGTGATATTGTTTTCTCAATAGTTCATTTCCAATTTGTAAATTTTTGAATGCCTACAATAGTTTAATCAATGTGGTTAGAAATTCTCACAATATTTTCTGTTAATCCTACTCTTGCTTGTGTATTGGATAATTCAAACCATGTGTCTTCCTCATCAAGTTTTCCAGCTTCTAAAATTAAAACAAAATTAAAATGATAAAACGTTTATTTCATCATATTTATGTATCAATTTCATCGTTGTTACCTAATGGGTTTTTATTTGTTACGTCAAGTACATCAGAGCCAATAACTGAAGAGAAAAAGATATATGGAAATTTTTTCATTCAGAAAAATTTAGTTCAACAAACTTACACATGCATTGCGTTGCTATTGTTATATCAACATTAATCTTTAATTTACTGTTATGATGAAAAGAAAATCAATAGTATAACTTGTGTAAACAGAAAATAACATAAACAAACCTTTCGTGATCCCAGTCGACCGAATAATCATATTTTAAGGATGTATTTTCAAATGTTATGATACGAATAAATGTAAGACATAAAACAACAAGAGCAGTAATTAGGGCAACTAAAAAAGGGTAATAAATGTACGGGATTAAGCATGATTCAACTAAAAATCGTACTTTACTTGTTCCACCAGTTGTTGTTGGATCTTTTAAATCATTTTCAACTTTTAAGAATACATCAAGATCTTTAACAATTTCAATCGGTACGATTGTTTTTCGACGCTGTCTCAACATAAATGGAAAACTATTCTAAAATAAACAACTAATATTCGTTCATGTATTGAAAAAACACAAAGCTCACAAAAGAACTTTTTCTCATCAGGTAACAAATCATTTTTTTTATGAAACACAGTTTTCTTATCAGTCATATTTAATGGAGATTATAAACTCAAAATTCTTTCTGGTTATTAGATTTTATTGTGTCTTCTTGAAAAACTGTTCCGTTATATTTATCAGATAGAGAAATGTTAGTTATCATGGATCGTCTTGAACCATTTTTTTACTGTCTGGTCATATATGACTATTACGATCCCGGTCGGATCTTTGACGTTCTCCATGCGTTTTCTCGATTCGTGACGATTTCTGGTTGAGATCATTTAATTTAACTTAAAAACAATTTGTTTTCAGAAATAAGGTCATTTCTTTTCAATCGCATAAAGAAATATAAATTACTACACTCAAAAAAATGATAAATCAATTCAAGTCTGATATAATTATAGCAAAAAAATCCAAATTAGAAAAACATTTCGTATGAGAAGTAATTCATTCTTGCAGTCGGTAAGAAAAAAAAAAGATTTTTCATCCATTTATTTATGTTCATGTACCAAAAGCTTCTCAGTTGTAATCAGGGCATTATCGCATTACGCCATTTTTCTAGCTATAAAAGTGTATATAAATAATCAATTTTGGAGTGCAATGAGAGAGATTCTATTTTTCGTTTACATACCAATTTTCGTCTAGTTTTCGCGTTAAAAATTGAACATTATGTATTTTCAAAGGAGAAAAGATCCTATTTAAAAAATGAGAAATTTTGTTACAGTGGTGTGATGTTGGACTTATGAATTTATGAGACTGTCAACTTCTGACAGCGTAACATTAGAAACGGTAATAAAAGTTTCCTGGAATAGAACACTTCGAAGCTATCATGTTCCGTTTCATATTGTATCTAATTCTAAATTATGTGAACCGTTTCTTCAATCAAAGTTTCTAAATTTGTAAAAGAATAGATGAGCAAAAAAGATCCGAACTTAGTAAAGAAAAAAACAATAGCTGAATAATTAATTTATTTAGTTTTTATGTATGTTCTAAATTGCAGACAGAGAAAATATGCCTAGTTAAAAAAAAACAAAAACAAACAAGGAAAAGTGATTATAAAATGCAGTTTTATTCTAAGATTTAAAAGAGGATGCAAGAAAAAACTAAGCTGCCTAAACTATCACTGCGTCTATCAGAATAGTTTTAATTTAGACTTCCAATTGGTGGTGTTGGCTGAGGTGTTGTCTGCGTATGAGATGACGTTTCATGATGATATTTTCCTTCTGAATGATCTTTCTGCTGCTGTTGTTGTTGTTGTTGTTGTTGGTTAGGGTAATGTTCTGTCTCCACTTTTCTCAATGTATTCATTGACATTTCACGATGATTATTAACACACTTTATAAATTTTTCGGCTAACTCCGAACATAGAAGCACATGTTTTGAATTATTAATATAACATTTTTCAATATCATTTCGTTCTAATTCACATACTGGCACATAGGAATATTTTGAAAATTTTTTTTCTAATTTTTCTATAGATCGTTCTAAATTTTCTTTACTTAAACCATATTTATCACGATTTTGTTTTTCATGTTCAATTAATTTTTGTTTATATTCTTCGCGTAAACGTTTTAATTCAACATCGTTAACACTCGATGATAATGCGCGCCATGTTTCAACTGTACCAGAAGTTTCGATTGTTGGCAATGGAGCATTATTTTGAGTTCCATCTGTTAATTGGCTTGCACGTTGTGATACGGCATTTGGTACATCTTTACCGACAGATGATTGTAATTGTTGTAAAGCAGCTTCAGTTAAAAGTAATTGATTTTCAAATGTGACGTTTCGAGGAGGCTCTTTTGTACCCGCTACGCCCATTATTTGTCTAGAACGCACAGAAAAGTGAAAAACCAAATTAAATCCTAGTTAACACTGCCAGAAAAAATCTCATATAACCCTCGTATGCGAAGTCATTCATGTTTTTGTTTTACCGAACACATATTATATAAGAACTATGAATTTTCGAAAACTTTCTGAAAGTTCTTGTTACTTCAATAATCCATTCGAAAACAGTCGACACATGCTAGCTTCTACCTTCACTATTCATATTAAGACAATGCACAATTCTCAATCTTTAAAAGAAAAAAAATTGGTGCTGCATATAAGAATCAACAACATGCAATCCTTCTATATTTGCGGAGCAAACACAAAAGCGTTCTGTCATCGTGTGATTTGTACAACATCTAGATAGTTATACTGTGAAATTTTTCCAGGACTCGCTCTCAACTAGAAAACTCAGATGAACTCTTCCACTTAACCGATTCTTTCCAAAAATAATCCATTGGCATTTTCCTCAAGAACCTCCAAAAACAAGAACATTTGAATCTCAAGTTAGGTGAGAGAAACTTTTGTTACAACTTGAACATGTATCATGAAGAGAAAAGTTTTTAGCGATCTAACTATGTGTGAAGTATTACTGTGTTTAAGTAAAATTTAAACCATCGGATTTTTAAAAAATCGAACTAATAAATATTACTTGAACACAACTTCAGATAGTGTGATGTTTAAGTCATCCTAAAGTAAGAAAAAAGTTCAGGAAAATAAGAAGCAACGTTAAAAGTGATATTAATTCTACGCAATAAAACACCATATCACGTCAAAGGATGCTGTACGGTTGATTTAACGCTATTAATGAAACACATGCTTAGATAAATGAAAAGAGCAAATTAGCTTGAGAACGGCTGAAAATTTCAAGCAACCAGTTTTTTTGAAACATATCTATATCTGCATTCTCGGTTTCTTAAATAGAATAAAAAAACGATTTCTCGAAGACTTCTTGTGTTCATAACGTTTTGGTTTTTTTTTGTATGTGTGATCGATCTATCTTTTTTGTCAGCCATTTCTTGGACATACCCCACGTTTCATTCGCAAAAAAAATACCGAATGAAACAATCACACAAATTATACTTCAAGAATTATATGAAAGTGTCGTAAATTTAAATATAATGGAGAATTGGTAAAATATGGGATACTGTATAAGGTAATGAACACCGACAGTGTATGAGTGAGAGAGTGAAGTATAGAGTAAAATCCTTGACAAACATCATTTTATGAAATGAAATATGATTGTTCGGCGAAATTATGTATAAAGAAAAATGCCAATTTATTGTATCACATCACGAATATTGAGTTTATCTTCCTGCATGCTTATGTCTATTTTTCGATAATTATTCCTTGGGCAACAAATTTTTGTCTAATATTTCACAAGTATGCTTTGAATTTTTAGTTTTATATTTCAACTTTCTTGAATTTGAATTAGTGTATATGAAATATTATTAGCTCATAGGTTCTTAATATCTGAACGTTGTTTTAGTTTGGATAATGTTTACACAGATGTTTACGTGATCTGCCTCTGTGCATTACTCTAGTTTTCTTTGATCAACTTGTCTTTGCCATTTTATTGGCTCGAATCATTGTTATTACAGGTCGAGGATCTTTGATGATTCTCATTTTTCGTGAATAAAATACTATCACTACTAATACTAGTTTAAAATAAGTATCATTCTGAGTCATTAATTAAATTTTAGATGATAGGATTACCAGATATTTTTCGCAAAGTGGCTCCGAAAAATACCACAGCCAATGCATTAGTCAATACAAGAAATGGACTATCGATTATACGTGATAAACTACTTGTGAAAGGTACATGGTCTAGCGTTGTCCTATGTTTTGATTGTTATTCTGTTTCGGTTTTTTAGAACATAATGACTTAGGTGGTTGTATGCCGGAAACCTGTCAGATAGTTATGGAAAATATACACAAATTAGAAAAGTTTGATCTTATCATAACTCCTAGTATCGACAGTATATGGCATCGAGGACGATTTGTATTCACAATCGACGTACCTCCATCATACAATATGATGGTATATTTTTGTCCGTGCTTTCTGCCTCAAATGTGTGTACAAGCTATTATTTGTCCTATTTTCTAGCCTCCAAAAGTGACTTGTCAAACAAAAATTTGGCATCCAAATATCAATGAGGATGGTCAGATCTGTCTTAGTATATTACGTGAAGCATCAGTCGATAGCAAAGTGGGATGGTTACCGACTAGACAATTGAAAGATGTTATTTTTGGATTAAATTCATTATTTACTGTAAGTGCACTCTCATTATTAACTATATCCTCTACTGTACAGAATTTACATCAGATCTCCTATTGCTCTGCAGAAGATTGCAATTGAATTCAATTATAGACTGCTTTAGATTTTAACCATAGAGTTCATATCTATGAGATTATTCATGGTTTCTACAACTTTTTGTTTTTTATTTAGGATTTGGTTGATTTTGATGATGCTCTAAACATGGAAGCGGCAAATCAGTATAAAAAAGATCCAGAAGCATTCAAACAGAAAGTAGCGAGTTATATTGATAAATATTGTCTAGCAGATACTAAATTCAAATCAAAACGATAAATATTTATACTGAAAGAGAAGTAACGAATCTATTTTATTGTCTATTTTATACTGAACTTTATTTATCTCTCTTTTGTGTTTTTTGTATGAACATTTTGTACAGTATGTTTTTTGCTACTCGTATTTAGTTATCTTTGAATTATTCAATATTTGCGTGTTTTTGCGTTTTTTTTATATGACAAAACCCCGAGATGTTTTTATTTTCTTAGTTTTGTTTCTATATTAACAATAACAATCAGATGTTTGAGAGAAATAAAATAAAAGCTCCATTATTCAAATAAAAGAGTAAAGTTAGAGTTTTCAAGATTCTATTTAATTGCTGAAGGATATTATCGGTCTTCTATTGAAAATCTGAACTCCCCAACAACTTTTTGTCTAAGTTGAATATTAAGGATCAGGTCAATTTGGTTTGATAGCAGAACGAGAAGAATCATTCTAATCCTGGACAGATTTGGTTCAACAAAGAACATTCAACGTTATCTACATAGTACGAAGTCAGGCAGCAAGAAATAGATGTAATAGTCTCAGCCTCAAGATTTTACGTTCCTTACTGTGCATCCTTGCATTTTGAATAAGGTTGAGACGAGTAAAAGAACTTAATTCAAAATTGTTAACACTATTTGACTTTAATTTTTTCTTTCTATTTATATTTAGAATGCCTCATTCACATTCTAAGAATAAAGATTCGACTCGTAGCCATCATCATAATAAAAATTCATCCACATCAAAATCAAGTACTTATCGATCGTCGTCATCGCATTCTATTACGAAAAAACGATCTGAAAGACGTAGTCGTTCGTCATCATCTGATAGTTCATCTTCCTCTTCTAACTCTAATTCATCAAAGTCTTCTCGAGAAAAGAATGATAGTGAAAACTCGCATAAACTAAACAAAGAAGAAAACCATTCGACTAAAGCTAAAGAGACCATTCGCCTGGCATTAGATAATATTGATAAGGGTGATCAACAACAACAAGTCGAAAATCAAAATACATTATTTTCAAAATACGGTTTTAATTTCGCTTCGGAACTATATAAAGATTCAGATCTATTAGAGGAACGTATTCATAAAATAGCCGATGATGAAGATGAGATATACATAAAGTCGAGCAGTATGTCTTATCAGCAACGACAAAAAAATCCAATAAATGATCAGAAACATGAATTATCTATATTTGGTAGTAAAGCAGACGAAGGTAGGATAGAAATGAGACGATTATGTAGATTTAACAGTGTCTGAAAGTCATTAAAGACAAAAGGTTTTCTCAATAAAAAATGTGTTTCTTTTTTTATGAATAGTTTTTTCGTCACAGTTAGAGTTTCCAATAATACCGTAGCAACGGTTGATCTAAGTTTTTTGAAGAAGAAAGAGTGATAATGGCTAAAGATGATGCCTGTCTGCCCGAGGATATGGAGGTCCACTTTTTATGCTTTTGTTTCTGTGTACTAATAACTTTCTCGAAAACTTTAGTAAATTCAAAACATTTAAGTAATTTATTTCTGTAAGCAGAAGTAGAGAGAAAATACTTCACAGGAGAGTGAGGAGTAGAAATGATGATCATCAAAGTTGTGAAAATATAATATTTATTGCTGTCAGCAATTTGCTGATCAAATACAGAATATAGATTTTACGGTTTTAATCTACTCACTTTATCCTTCCTGTTGCTTCATTTACTTTTAGTACAAGAAAAAAATCATTATCAGAATCAAATCTGGAACGAATTTAAACAGACATCGATTATATATGATAAACTAATGTCTGCCAAAACATTGGGTGGACCATATTTACTAGAAGATACAAGTATTAAACAAAAACGATGGAAAGAAAAAGTACGAGATATATGGAGAAAACGCAACGGAACAAACGGTATTCATATGGATGTTAGAAATTAACTTTTATCCTGTAGCCCTGGAGTAAACTAACATTTCTTAAATTTATGTCAGTTGAGCTGATAAAATTAGTTTTCAATAAAAATGTTCATTTTTCTTTATTAATCATTGTATCGAAGTAGCTCTGTTATTCAACAGGATTTTAGATTAAGAACACCTGTTATTTCTTTTAGCAGCGATTGTTACTTTGTTGTATTATATTACTGTATATATAGTTATCATATTTCTCGTCTTTTCTTTTTTTGAAGCAGACGTAAAAGCACTGTGCCTTCAGTAGTATAACACATAACAGCCGTTATTGCGACTAGCACTATTGATTTGTGAACAAACATTTCCTTGTCATTAGATATACAATTGAGCTTTAATTAATAATACTTTTTGTTTTCAGATATAAAAGTAGAATGTCTAGTTATTATTGTGTACCAGGTGATCGTCTGTGTCCAGCGGATAGTGCCAGACCTGGTCCAGGCACGTATGAAAAACAAGGGTGTATTTTTGCAAGCATAGCTGGCAGCATTAAGTTAAATTTATCCGAAAATGAACTAGGTGCAGTATCACATAATAAGAATACGTCAAATAATGAAAAACCGATCATTACTGTTGTTCGAGAAGAACATCAATTAGCTGTACCAACAGTTGGTCTGTTAGCTTATTGTAAAATAACACATGTTTCACCACGTTTTGTCCGGTGTAATATGTTTGCTATTAATAATCAACCATTGAAATCTATTTGTCATGGTATGATTAAACGCGAAGCCATTGATAGTAACAATAAAGATACAGTTGAATGTAGCCAAAAGTTTAGACCTGATGATATTGTTATTGCAAGTATGTTTTCTCAACTATTTCTATAACGCTTTATCTGTTATATATTACTGTATTCTATTTTAGGAATTATTTCACTGGGTGATTCAAATTCTTATTTGTTAAGTACAGCTGAACCTGAGTTGGGTGTCGTTGCTGCGCGAACATCGACAGGTTTGTTTTTGCTGTTTGATTTTATGTCAAATAATCTCTAAAAACATTTTATTTTCTACAGGTGAAACTCTAGTTCCAGTAGCCTGTTGCAAAATGCGTTGTCCGAAAACAAATATCATCGAGTCACGAAAAGTTGCTAAAATTCAAAATGATTTCATCGAAGAAACAGAAAGATAATGAGGAAATGCCAATGTATAGTTTTTTCCTGTTTTCATTACCTTGTTGTTCTTATTTGTTGTTTTAAATTAAAATAAATGTGTTTATTTTTTGATAAGACAAGGTACTTCATGCTGTTGTCACCGCATTCGTGAACTGAATGCTATTGAAGAGAATTTTTCGCTAATAAAATACATAAAGTTGAGATAACTTATTGTAGAATGAGTTTGGGAAACTGGAAGGTGGGACTTATACGTAATCAACGATGATACATCGAATTTGCTCATAAGCAATATCTACGAGCGTTTTCATCAGTCGAAATCTTTTTTGGAGTTTAGACGAGAAATGTACTGAGATGGATGATCCCATTGTCGCTAGCCTAGAAATGAATACTTCTGTTGATAATAATCATACAGGCAGTAAGGGGACACCTTCTATATCCTGATCGGGATATAGCTATATCCCGATCAGGATATAGAAAAAAAGTAGCATCCCGATCGGGATATAAAACACGAAATTTCGTCGTAAAAACGATTAAGGAGAAAATGACGACATTTTGGGGTAAAATTGACTTCACCATTAGAAAGAGCTCGAAAAACTACATCGGATTCTGTTGTGTTTGATCAAAAGTGCATCAAGCACCCAGCAACTATTTTTTCGAATACAAATTTTTAACAAATTTTCGTCGAATTTATATCCCGATCGGGAAATAGGTTAAATAGGTTAAAAGTTAATCTTTTATTGCTCATAATGGGATATACTCTTGATCTAATCGCTTTCCACGTCGACCGCGTTTTTTTATTTCTTCCTTTTCGATGTCCACATATATTGGAACACAATTCTTTTCTCATGCGTC